CCAGGTAAAGACAAACTGTGGCCTGCCCTGTGCTGCTAAAGGAATGGAGAAGATTACATTAGCAATGTCGATGGTGGCACCACTTTACTGCCTTGGACTCCGGTTCCTACTGAAGTTCCAGCACGTCCAGCACAGCAGCACACACGGTGGTGTGACTTCGTTCAGACCACGATAGTTTACACTCAGTCTCCACTCTCCATTGGACTAATGCACTAATAAAGGGTGAGTGAGTTTTGCTGACCATTCCCTGGCTCTCCAGTTCATGAATCATCTCATGGATGGGGGTCACAGAGTCCTGATTGGTGTGGAGGTGTCGACAGTGCACTCTTGGGATAGCAGTTGGTACCTGTTGTTCTTCAACCCTCAACCGTCCCAAAGCAGAGGGTCCTCTGAGAGACCAGGCAAGGTATTCAGCTGTCCCAAAAGCCCAATGGTGCCCTTTTGGGTCCTTGAAATACCTTATCCTGAGGTAATCTATGCCAAGGATCCACAGGGCCTCTGGGCCAATAACAATGGGATGTGTTTGCCATTTGTTCCTGGTCAGGCTCATTTCACCTTGCAGCACAGTCAGGTGTTGGGATCTCCCTGTCACCCCAAAAATAGAGATGGATTCTGCTCCTGCGCATCCTGATGGCATCAGGGTTCATTGGGCTCCTGTGTCAGCCGAAGCCTTATACTCTTGTGGGTCTGATGTGCGAGGCCACCAGATCTACACGCTCCAGTAGGTCTGATTGTCCCCTTCCTCCACCTGGCTGGAGACAGGGCCCCTTTAGTCCTGGTTATAGTACTTCTTGGTCCCTTCTTGTAAATAGGACCTGGAGGTCTGTTCAAGAGGATCAGAAGTAACATCAGCACTTCTATTCTGTCTGAGGACTTGGAAACTGGAGCTGCATTTATCCTTGAAGAATTTCCTGTGGTGGTTGTTCTTCCTCTCAACTCAGGCACCTGTGCTACTGGGGCAGAGGTGGGTTTTCCATCCCACTTCCTCATGTCCTCCCCGTGGTCATGTGGGTAAAACCACAGGTTACCTCATGGTGTGTCCCCTCTCTCTCGAGCAGGGGGGTGCTTGCTCCCAATAGCAGAGACTCTGGTCTGTACTGATGGGGCATGGGACCTTTCCCTCTAACTTGCTTCAATCTTTTGAGCCTTCCTGCATCTTAGTCTTTCCACAGCTAAGGCACAGGTCAGTTGGGAGGAAAAAAGATGCTTTTCATATTGCCAGAGTTGGGTAGTCACCTGAAGCACTGTTTGTTCTCCTTTCATTGACATCAATGCCAGTGAGTTGGTACATGATGATGGTGTTCTCTGTACAAACTTCTGCCACATGGATTGTGTACACTGGACTTCATCTGGATCTACAGGGGGACTCATCGTTATTTGAATCCCTGTAGATTACCTCCAGCACAGCCAATTCCCTCGGATACTGGATGCTTTTCTTCGTGGCCTTCCACCTGCTTGGACACCCTATTAGATCATCCTTGAGAGGATATCCTTCCCTCATGCTTGACATAAGTCACCTCCAGAGGCAGAGAGTTTCTGTCCTCTTCCCAATCCCCATGTCAATGCCCACCTCCTGAGACAGGGATTGCAGTTGCTTGGCTTCGCTACCATCT